GCTGTATAATGTATTATTGCTGGGATTTGTAGTCCACTATACAGCGCAATGCAGAATACCACCAGCTATATAGGAATACAACAAATCTCAGCAATACATTATGCATACAGTGTATAATGTATTGCTGGGATTTGTATTCCTATGTATAATATACAGCACAATGTACCATCAGCTATAGAGGACTACAAATCCCAGCAATACATTATAGAGCACCATGTGGGGGGGAGGGAAAAATAGGCTTACTTGAGCAGTCTTCCAGCAACTTGCTTCTGAGATCGGGCCTGTCTATTGGCGGCTGCCATCCACCCACACCTGCTCCTCCTTACTTCTTCTCTCCGCGTCCGTGTGCCAATCGTGGATTTGGGCGGGCGAATCTGGCAGCGGCGAGCGTGAGGTGGGGAGGTGGTGTGGCGCGCAGCGTGTGTGGAGCCGTGAACAGGGCCAACCAATAGGAATCCGATTAATCGATGATTGAAAAAGTTGACAACTTTTTCAATAATCGATTATAATCGATTATGTCGATTAGTTGTTGCAGCCCTAGCCCTTTGATGCTTTCAGGGGCCACAGTTGAGCCCTACAACTCCTTGTTAGGTTGACAGTCACAGGGTTAATGTGTGTCACGGGGACAGGAAATGAGGGGAAATCTCTCCGCCGGGGACACAAATCAGACGTTTTCTTCCAGTTCTGGGCGAGAGATCTGATTGTAGAAAAACCCGACAGACGAGTTCCCGAGAGGACGGCGTCCCGCCCTGCGCCAGAGTGCCAACGTCCGCGCCCTAATGTGCCATGCGCTGCCATGGGAACCGCGCCCGCATTCCTCTCCGAGATATACAATGTATGCATCACGTTCAGATCATACGACCAATCGCAGCGCAGCGTCTGCATGGGAAGGGTTAATGCCGAGTGCAGCAGATGGCGGCGGATTTACTGCCAGGAAAAGCCCATAAAACGGGGCGAGTCCTCGAAATCCGGCTACAGCCGAGCTCAGAGTCTGCCGGAGGCGGAGATCCGCCGTGTTCACACGCCACCGACTGTCCAATCCCGCCCACACGCCACCGACACGTCTGTCCAATCCCCTCCACACCCACCGACTGTCCAATCCCGCCCACACGCCACCGACACGTCTGTCCAATCCCCTCCACACGCCACTGACACGTCTGCCGGGACAGGACCGGTCTGATCAGATGCAGATTGAATGAAGTGATCGTACAATCGGATTGTAGGCAGTCATGTGATCTCTGGATGATGTATGAAGTGTATCTGTCAGTGTCCGCGGTCTGAAGAACATTCACCGTATTAGTGACGCGAGTTTCCGTCTGTTGCAGCGACATGTCGGACGGGATGATCGTGGATCTCATCGCCTCGTATCTGGTGCTGCCCAACCGATTCACCTTCCCCCTGAGCAGCCAGGTCAATGCGGCCCAACTGAGGTTCCCCGTCCCACACGTGAGTCCCCGAGGGGG